TCCACAGAAAATTGCTGCACTTCATGGCACTTCCACATGCAGTGTGAACCTGGATTGAGATGGAGGGAGCTGCCCTGAGAAAGAGAGGCTTTGCCTGGTCAGGCTTCGAGATGTTAGAAATGGTGAATTTACAGCTCAGAGCAAGTTAATATGATACAGTCTGTGGCTTCTGTTTGATATCTAGTGTCAGCAAATGTTGGAACAACATCTGAAGAAAAAAAATAAATAGTTGAGTATTTGTATTGAACAGCCAAATCCGATTTGTCTGACATCATTCTGAGTTGGGTACAGCTCTATTACCAAGTTTTGGAGATGTCTGCCCTCTCTCCAGTATAATGGAACTAGATGGCACTCGGCTTGTGGTGCTCAAAGTGCCAGATAAATACATTTGGAAAAACTTCACAGCAATGTCTCTTTCCACAAATCATGACCTGGTTACTCAAGACAATCCACAGACCCTGTTGTGAGCAGTTTCATGTAGGAACTACTTTCTTTCTAGTGAACCACACCTGCCAACTGTATCACTGCACAGGAGAAGGCGTGCATCTACTGCTACCTCAGCTAGCACCACTGAGCTAACGAACATTACAGCTCAGCCGAGGAGGACGCCATTAATGTTTCCATCTCGTCTGTCATGAGCACAGGCCACTTGAGTAAACGGGTCATGATTTTTTGGAAAGAGACATCGCTGTTGAGTTTTTCAAAAAAAAAATTTTTTTCCCCTTCCCTCAAATGCACTTTGAGCACCACAAGCTGAGTGCCATCTAGTTTGATCATATTAAAGAGAAGGCAAACATCTCTATGGGTGATATCCACAACACTTAGCGACTCGCACCAAAATAATCTAGACAATAAATAGCACTACAGGTAAGAGGAAAAATATGTACTTTTGATTTAGGGGGGACCTATACCGTGTTATAGAAGGTGTACCAGCAGTTGTGTTCAACAACTGCACAATCTTATGGAAGTTTGTTCAGTGTTTTACCAGGAACGATTATAAGACCAAGGGCCAAATGAACAGCAGGCTCATGGTGTGCTGCCAAAACATTAGTGCAAATGTCAACCAGCTGGACGTTGAACATCAGCAGTGTCTTTCCCATTACCAGAATATATGCATAAGCAGTACCAACTAAAGCACGGACTATACTTCACAAAGTTGCAAGAGGAATAAGTACTTTACTTTCAACATAAGATTTTATTAAAAAGTAACATATTTACAGTATGAAAAGCTGATATATTGCACATTACTGGTTAACAGTGTTGAAATAGTAGACTTCAAAAATCATTACACTCAACTTCATGAAAACATTGTCAATGAGCTTCACAGATAAATTACAAAAATATACAGTATTTAGTTATTTACAGGGATTTAAAATCTTACGGGATTATAATCTGAATAGTTTTAGAGTGGCAGCAACAGATCAATACATAGTATTTCTTATATTAAGTTTATCTTTAAAAAGCAAAGGCTCCTACGCTGACTGTGGCCAGAACCACAAAAAGTCCTAGCACCATCCTGAGCAGTGGGACAGTTTTAAAGATGGCTTCGGGCATCTGGAGTGTCTTCACTGGTGTGGAGCGTGTCAAACAGGTCTGTGGCTGGTTTTCGGTGACACTCAGCAATGTCTGCAAATCGTCAAAGACCTGTAAAACAAATGCAAAAAGGTCAGTTAGCTGCTTCTGCTTTGATGAACAATTGCAAGAGCAAACATCAGTTTTGTAAGTTCATAGCAAAATTTCTGTTTGAAGGTTTCTTGCTCTGTCCAACTATCATTGCAACGTACCTGAATGTTAAACTCAAAGGCTCTGACAGCCTCCTCCAACACGCCGTTCCTCTCCTCCTCCGTCAACTCGATGCTGTTCATGCGGCTGCGATACAGCTGTTTGAACAGGTTGGGGCTGGACACACCAGGGAAGGCAAAGAAGGACAGACCCTCGCCGCTCTTCAGCCCCATGGACTTCTGAGCAATTCGACCCAGGATCTGCCCTCCAGACAGGTCACCTAGGTACCGTGTGTAAGCGTGGGCAACCAGAAATTCAGGGTTTTCTTTTCCAATCTAAAAAACAAAACAGAGATGAAGTGTTATTTCAGGGTCAAACAGAAGAGAAGCAATTGTGTTTGTGAGATATACTATAAAAGTTATGATGAAACATACTTGTCTGAGCCTGTGGCAGTATCTTTTAGTTGCTGCAGGGACAACAATCTTCTCTCTCCAGTCCTGGCCGTAGAAATATTCCAGGTCTTTTTCGATAGCCTTCAGTCTGGCCAGTTCAGCTGGGAAGTAAATGGGTGCGACACCAGGGTGGTCGGAATTCCTGTCCATCTCTTCCTCCAAGGCCTGGTAGATCTCATACAGTGAGCACAGGAGGAGCTGAGAAGGAAGAGGAGAGGTGGTGTCAGACAAAAAATTCATCCTACCATACCAAAAGGTAAGAATAAAAGTGATATCATCTGATAAGAGATTTAAAATGCTACCTTGTACTGCGGCAGGGAGACTCGTCCCCTCTGGAAGCTCAGCATCAGTTCTGTGTTTTCTGCTCTGACGTGACTATCCTTTGTCACCTTTTTGATTTGCTCTGACAGATCCCTGCAAAATAAAAATGGGTAACAGGTGAGAGAGGAAGGCATGGGATAAACATAAAGAACAAATATGGGACTCCAAAGTACAGAAGTTCTACATTGTGTGACTGCACCTATAGATTTTTGTCTACTGCGGGCAGCATGCAGCTGATAAACAGAAGCATGACCAGAAAGTCATCACAAACTGCACTAGAAACCTACTTATGGATGCTGCAGCACTAATGCAGATAAGATCAACTGAACGAAGTGTAAGTTCAATGTTTTTTAAGAAATGTACAGCTTGAACACAATCGTCTAGAAGCATGGAATATGATTGCAACAAGGATTAAGTGTTACACTAAATCACAGCAGCTCATTCTTACATGTCAGTCAGCTGCTCTGCTGTTGGCTGAGTCTTCTTCTCTGTCTCCATTGTAGCCCTGAAGAAAGTTCAGATGTCAGAAAAGTGCTTTTGCAGGCCACCTTGCAACATGATCACCAACATTACAGAGGGATTGAAGAGGTTTAAAACATCACAAAATATTCAAAGTATGACAAAAACATCAGTGTAGATCCAGTGTTTTACTCACCAGTTAGGAGGTGCTGTAGGTTTGGTAGTGTCCACAGTGATTCACTGTTTCTTCTCTTGATATACAGTACAGTTTGTGCTCTGTGTGCCCTCAGTCTTCTCCCTCTTATATATGATCCTCCTCTGTCTCCTCCCTCCAGCAGCTGAATGAAAACAGGAACTCAGTGTCACAAAACCACAGCTAAACATGATCTGGCAATTTCAGCAGAAAGCAGTAGGAGGGACTGGAGAGTTAACATGATGCAGCAGTTTTGAGAACCACTTGGAAAAGTTCTAGGGGAGGGACTATGGGACTTAGCATGAGTAAGGAAGTTTATGCAATGCCCTGGAAAACCAGAGGGAGGGAGGGCTGAGTGCTAAACATGACAGTGCAGCCGCAGAGTTCCAAAGTTGGATCAGGCGAGAGGAGGAGCCGACTCTAAACATGACTGTGTGAGTTTCTGATACCAGAGAGAGGAAGTGTTGACACTGTGACTAATGTTAGAGAACAATCACATGACTGTATCAAGACAATATGCCGGCAGTTATCAGTTCATCAGAAACATGACACTGTTTAAACACGTTACCAGATCTCTGACAGGTCTGTCAATGTTCACATGAAAAAATAAATGACTGTGGCATGCTATATGACTTACTTAGTCGTGACTTGTGTAATACAAAATACTAGCAACCTAATACAGCTGAAAGAACATACACAATGTGGCCAAAAGTATGTGGATGCCAAAATATTACATCCAGATGTGATTATTGGACATCTAGTCCTGAAAATTATTTGCTGCATCCACTCTTTTGGGTGGGCTTTCCACAGGATTTTGAATCTGGCTGTAGGGATTCACTCACATTAAATCATAACAGCATCAGTGTGGTGCTGGGTTATTATTACAAGGCCTGGCTCACAGTACATGTTCCCCAAAATTCATACCAAAGGTGCTGGACGGGGCTGAGATTAGAATGCTGTTCCAGTTCTTTTAAGTTTGTTCACATTAACCTCAAATTGTTTTCTCCCTTTGAACAGGTGCATCTCAAGAAACAGGAAAAGGAGTTGCTGCAGGCACAATGTTGGAATCAATCTTGACAATAGGGTCTAAGGATTGGAGAGGTCATGTTGCACAGATAGCGAAGCTCTTTGAGGCAAATTTATGATTTCTGGGCTAGAAGTCCAGCTGATAACAGACACCATCTCTTACAAATCATATGTAACAACTCACTGTACAGTGGGAAACATGCAACATGGTCAGAGATATAGTGTAGCAGTTGAGTCTACAGGGAATAGATTAAAAGTCTTTACTAATACTTATATATTGTGTTTTTGGAATTAATTTGACTAAAATAAACCACAAATAAACAGCCCCACATCAAAAGTACACAAAAGTATATAGACAGGGGTGTCTGCATACTTTTGGCCGTCAGGTGTAATTATGCCTATTAAGTAAAGACACGCATAATTGTTTTTATTTGATATTTATTGATAATATAATATTAATTATGTCTACTGAAGTCTTGCAACATTTCTATTATTTTTTTTAAACTATCCAAAACTCTTTTCAAGAGGATAATTTTATGTAAATAAATAAAAATAAATAAATAATGTCTCAGAGCTGCAGACGAACAGACTTGGACGAACGTGTCCCTGCTCGTCCAGCTGGCTGCAACATGACACACTAATCGGTCATCTATTAAATCAGTTTGCTTACTTGGCTCCGGTCTTAACATGAATCAGCAGAGAGACGGGGGAAGCTCAAGCACTAAACGTGAGTCAGCAGCTTTTCCTCTACTCTGTTCAGGCTTCGGACGGATGTGAGTTTACCCGAGCCTGGCGGCGACAGACATGACATTAAGCCAAGTTGTTATTTGAGCTTGTTGGTTACATGTTAGCTTGCTTTTTAGTCGACGAAACCGGAAGTATCATATACAAAAGTCTTTCAAAATGAACGTTAAGCTTGTAGCCACGAAGTTACCGTTAAACTGTCGCTGTAAATCAGTCTATAAACCTCGACGACAGACTTTGAACTTGTTACATGGCAGCACGTAACTAGTCAGCAGTCAGAGCCTGTCCTCTGCCATATCTGTTTGTTTTCATTGCTGTCGATAAAAACTGGCTCAACCCGTTGTGAAATATATTTGGGCAGAAGCACATCCATTTTATTAATGAGCCAGCATTAAATCCCTGTCGCAAGGTAAGGTCAACCCTTACCCATGCCCACTCACCATTGCTTGTTTGGTACCACAGATAGCTTTGCATTAGCACTAGCTAGCTACAGCTGTCACACATTTTGAGCAGAGCATATGTAGTTATCCCACCTTTTTTGTCTGACATAAATCTTGACAAATTAAAACACCATCAGACATAGCATCTAAATAAAGCACATTTTATAATGAAATGGTCTTTATCTCACACTGTAACTGAATTATTGCTTAAATTACACTTTATTCTTCCCTTTAATCTCAACTGGAGCTCCTAACCTGCTTCTTTAGGGATCATCCCTGTGTTCCCAGGGTCCTAGTCTAGCCTTGTGTTAGGTTTTGAGCATGTGTCCCCTAATGTAAACCTACTTTGTAAGAGATTGGTAAGGGCTATCTTCACAGTTCAAATCGCAAAACAAACAAAAACAAAGAAAGATGGACATTTCAAATGCAGTTTGAATCATAAAAATCCTTTCAGCCAGTGTGGAGAGATATACAAGTCAAGAACGCTGTTCTGCCTGCAAATTTTAGGGCGCAGGTTTCAATGGTTTCATTTGACCACGGACAGAACATTGCTGATAAAACGAAACCCTGGAAAGGTCTCTTTTAATGTGCCAAATTAAGAGAATATTTAGCTCAGGAACCATAGATACACTCCATTTCAATCTTATTATAGCTTATATTGCTGCTGTTGAATGGCTGTCCCTCTCATCCTTGACTGTGCAGATGGATGGAGAAGCAGGCCCACTGAGTGGTGGCAGACAGAGGGAAAAGAAAGGATCCTACAAAGACTTATTAATGAACGTGGAGGAGCTGGCGGAACCAAATTCGGATTTTGAGGAATGTAGCACCAAGAGGCCTTTCAAGGTGGACTCGGGGGCTGTGCTGGTACTGTAGTCAGTGAGAAACGAAGTGTTTCAAATTATTTTTCATCTGCAGCAGATTAACAGTTGTGATTAGGGGTGTGACAAATAATGCATGTTCATATATTCTGATATAGTGACATAGATTACTGATACATTGGCATCACTGTTGTGTTATCTTCTGTTGCAATGTCACATGTATCCTCGATTGCAGATATTTGAACTCTGAACTGTTCTGCTTTGTGGCACTTTATAGTAGCCTTTTGCCAGTTTATGACTTTATGTGTAAATACAGTTTGGTACACACTCAAACTCATTTCTCAGCTTTTGTAATGCAATAAATAAATAAATAAATGAATACAATATATGACTGATTAAATGTTGATCCCTGAAATTAGGTGCAACTGTCATGTGAGATGTTCCACATTGTAAAAATGTTATTTTTGATTATCTTAATTATTTTAATTCCCCGTGCTTATTGTTTGCTTTCCTTCAGGAACCAGAAGGCTCAGTCAACAAGAAAATCCATATCTCAGTGGTAAATGGTGAGCAAATTTCAGCTAAAAACGCCATGATTAATCATATGATCTAAGTAGAGTGTTTATGCATAAACACATGACATATTGCAGGTAATGGTGGAGCTGAGCCTGAGCTATATGGAGAAGAGTCCTCTGGCTTCCTCCGTGATTATCCAGTCTGTGTGTCACGAGACAGATGGGATGCAAAAGAAGGGGAAGAGGTTAGAGAACAGAGGAGATTACATACATTTAAGTCTGTCAGGTTAAGTTTGTTGTGGGTGTTAAGACTATAAGAACTCATTTAAACTGCCTGTAATTTCATCCCCTCCATATTTACTCATGACTAATGCGTAAACTCTCTCCTCCAGGATATCAGAGACAAGTTGTTGCATTCATCTTGCACAGCAGAGGGCAGCATCGATCAGGTAATTACTATCCTGTATGCTCAAAGTTTTTTTTCTGCTCATCAGTTTTTTTACCATTTGATTTCCCCCAGGCAAGCTCCTTGTCAGACTACTGGGTGTATTTAGATAACCAGCACAACAAGGCAGACTGTCCTGTGTCCAGGACTCTCACCCCTCCTGCCACTCCAGTTACCCACAGGCCTCGTCCGTTCTTACCTTTTTCAAGTTCAGTGACTGCCATTGCTTCTACAGTGACCTCTGTAGTTAATCCCATGATGTCTAGCCCCATGACTGACGCCTGTAGTCCCATCAGTTCTATGTGCAGTCCCACAAGTTCAGCCTGGGACACTCTCAGATCCACATCCAGGAGTCCTGGCTTCTCTGCCCGGGATCCTGTCAGTGCTGCGGCTCACCTACACCTGCTGGGGGAATCCTTGTCCCTGATTGGCCACCATCTTCAGGAGACAGATGTGGGTAGATTTAGTGTAGGAAAAAACAGAATATTCTCTTGAATACTGGTTTGGGATGCTTTCCTTTTGTATTGTTAGCATATTACATAGATAATAAAGGGGCTGTGCCTTCATAATTGGATGTCCGTAGCTTTTATCTTTCCTGTTATGATGAAACCTTACTGAAGTGTTGCTGCAATCCATAGTGGTACATGTTCCTCTTTTTTCCTGTTTACCTTTTAAACCGACAGATTAGGGATGATATGCCTGTCTGGCACAGTGGCTGAGAATAAATACAATAAATCCACAATAGTGAATACAGTCCACCTTTGAGGCATTCAGAGTTAACGAGACTAAATTACCACTGGCAAAATATTTTGTGGAGCAAACTGTGGCTGAGCATCCTTGAGCTGAAAAATGTACCAAAACATTAAACTCATTTTGATAAGTTAGGAGTCCCAAAAGGTACCTTTGTTTTCTTTTATGCGGATCAAGTGATCGGGAAAAAGCATTAACCTATGCCTAAGGAGGAAAATTGTGTTTTTGTTTTTAATTAAATATTTTGTACAGTACTAAAGAAGGTAAAGACATTAAAAGCAAAACTTGTGAGCTGTGAGATATTGCTGACGTAGAATTCAAGTTTAGAAACAAACATGTTTCTCTAGTTTTTGCTCCATAATTTTGCCCATTATCTGACTACAGGAACAGTGGAGTGTAGGTTTCATTTAGCCTCAAGAGAGCATAAAACTCTTGCTGCACCAAGGGTTGATAATTGCTTTTCTTTGTGACTCTACAGAAAATGATCAGTATGTCAAGTAGTCTGTCTCTGCTCTTGGACTCTCTGTTGTGCGCCCTGGCTCCTCTGATCTGCCTCTCAGCACAGATACCTGAGCTGAGGAGCTGCACTCAGCACACACTGGTGAGAGATGCAGCCACTTAACAGTGCCTACACTACTTTACACTCTGTTTAAATACACATACATGTACATGAGTGACAAAGAGGAATCCCCTGTTTCTATTATTTTTTAAAGGCCTCTGCTCTCGAAAACATTGCCTATGTGATGCCCGGGTTGTGAGTGATGATGAAGACCACACCAGCAGCACCTTCTGTTATGCTGAAAGACACTATAGGTCAGTTTACACTTGGAAAATAAGTTACAGTCTATTTTGTTAAAAAAGAATATTTGTTTGCACTATAAAAATATATTTGTTTTATCACAAATATACCAATTTACTGTAATATGTTATTTTCTTTCATTGATTGTTTGATTTAAAGATGTGTAAAGATTGTATTATGTAACTTTTTTTGACCAGGTACCTCTTGACTTTGTCACTGGACACATTAAAAGTGTCAATTTCTGTTCTTCTGCTTTACAGTGGAGTTGATCAGGCATTACATAGATTTATTACATAGTCTCCTACATGTTCTTACATTTGTACTCAAATATAAAAGTTGAAGAATCTACAAATTTGCAGAAGTTCATCTTAAAGAATAAAACTGAATCGATAATACAATGAACAATGATAAATGTGATTGCATATGACTAGGTATCACAGAAGCCTCAAATCTAAATTAGGTCATGATTTATAGGATATGTACATCCAAACCTGCAATACTGCAACAAGATTAGTTCAGGCTAAATGGACTGATGAGTCAAAACCTTAAAACCACCAACAGGTAAAGTTAATGACTTTGGTTATCCTGTTACAGTTAGGGCTGCAACGATTAGTCGACTAAACGATGACTAATTGACTATTAAAATAATCGGTGACTATTTTAGTAGTCGACTAATTGGTTTGAGTCATTTTTCAGAGAAAAGTACTTTAAAAGTACCCCAAAATACTCTTACTGCAGCTTTTTACGTTCAGATATTGGCAGCTTTACACACACTCCCGTGACAGTGAACTAAAACCCTTTGGCATGAGTGCGAAACAAGACATTAGATGACATGATTTTGGGGTTTGGGACAGACAGACTGACATTTTTCAACACTTTAACACATTTTTCGATAAAATAATTAGTTGACTAATCCAAGAAATAATCGACAGATTAGTCGACAATGAAAATAATCGTTAGTTACAGTCCTAGTTACAATGCAGTGTTCCGCTGGGAAACCTTTCATCCTGGCAGTCATGTGGATGCCACCTGTCATTCTCCTTCCATGCAAACACCATTGCAGACCAAGTACAACCCCCAGTGTCTTGGTGCCAGACACCACAGGACAACCACAGAGGTCCTGTGTCCATGCCTTTACAGGTCAGAGGCAAGTCCAATCTCGAAAGGTCCCACCATGGATCAGACTTGGATCTGGGGTACCGGCACATCTCTAAAATGCTCAGTCGCATTGGGATCTGGTGAATTTGGAGGCCAGTTTGACACATTGAGTTCTTTGCTACCTTCTTTGGGCCATTCCTGACCAGTTTTTGCGAAGTGGCATGGTGCCTTGTCCTGCTGGGGGGGTGGGGGGGGGGCACTGTCATCAGAGAGTACTATTGCCATGAGGAGGTGTCCTTGGTCTTCAGTAGTGTTTGGGTGGGTGGTGCATGCCAAGTGGCATCCTCATGAATGCCAGGGAACAAGTTTTCCCTGCAGAACATTGCACCGTAATGAGATCATGCAATTCATTTCTCCAGTCAGTGGTTTAAATGTTGTGGCTGATTGGTGTATATAGTTAGAGAGCAATTTTAATTTTAGTTTTAGAAATCATTTGACCACAGGTTAGCAATTAAGTAATTACCTGTGAAATGTTATTGTAAGAAAATTTCATAATGAGGTCAATCGTCTGTCTCTAATTGAAGTAATAATTCAACACCTGTGATCTTATTTATCTTTTTTTGTAGATAATAAAAATGTACAGTCCCCATAGAAGTGACTCTTGAGGCTTCAATGTCTTCATAAGCTATGTAGGATGAGACTGTTGAGACTGGTTAATGCCCATCTGTATGACGTACAATAAAACCAAAGTCAAGTTCCTTGTTGAATAACTGACCTTACACCTTCAACTTGTCATGTCTTTTGGTTACATGCCCTCTGTCCTGACAACCGCAGCATTGCAAAAATATTTACATGCATAGTTTACCAGTTATTAATCTTAGTGACTCTAAACCTTAATAGACAGCTTATTTGAAACCGTCCCTTAGTTTGAGACCTGATGGGTGTGGTAGATAAAACCAAGTTAGAATGATTCACATGTGCCCTGGGATATACCTCCTCCGCCCCATCTCGGAATGCTTAGCAGCCTGTAGACAAAGAAACCTGTTGTGCACGGAGAAAATATACTTGTGAGTGTGTTCATGTGTGCATGCATTCAAAATTGGGAGTGGTGAGACAGGTACCTCCCTGAGATTGCAGATCCTACCTGCGTAGGCAGATTTCACTTGTCGACTAGGAGTCGACATGTACTGAAGTTGTCTGCAGGAGAGACATATCTCAGTGACTACGGAACAAACAGAGAAGACGATACATGATCGATTGAGTAAGTATGTTTATTATTGTTTGATTAATATATCTGTTTACTAAACTAGGTACTAATCATCTAAATATAAAAGTGGAAGTTTACCTGAAGCAGCAAGTTGTAGATTATTAGTGATCATAGCAATGGTTGTCAGTGTTATGTGCGCTTTGAATAGACAAAACAACCAGTGTCCGTCTGGTAATACTCTTTACTTTTAGTGTTAGTTAAAGGCCAAGTTTGAATTTCACTCTCACTGTTGTTTGTTGTCATAGTGAACTTGATATGCTATATGTTTGGTCCTTGTGTTGGTGTTCAATGTAGGTGGATGTGTTTTGTGCATGTTTGCATATCGGTCCACAAATACAAGTCCAGCCAGAATGTAGTTGGACAGGACTGGCAAGGTGTGGCATATCATGCACACTAAGTAAAAAGGGATGCGGTTAGTAAAGGAAGAAAGGTTTCAGTGAAATGAAAGCTTCATGTGAGAGCATAGCTGTTATCAATTATCGTAGTTCTTGTTAAGTCATGCACAAGAGGTGAGAGGATGGAGGAAATAAATAGGAAAGAAATGTGACGTTCAAAGGAAATTAAATAAGAAAATGGTGTTCTTTTAACTGTTGCACACAAACATTCAGAATCCTTCACATATCACAGATGAAACACATAAAAGGCATCACAACTTTCACATTTGCTTATATAAGAGTTGTGATGTCAGATAAGATAATTAGACTCCTACCCAATCTGTTTAGTTCTCTTTTTGTAGTGTCATTTGCATGTGGGTTCATCTTCTAAAAGTCAACATGTATGAACACACCTTTGCTTTTGGTTGGTTGGTGTAGCTTCCTACCAAATAAATCTTTGGTACTGAATTACATCCAGATAACACACTTGACCTCTTTCTCTTCCTTTCTCTTTTTACAGCTATGAGTGAGCAGTTGAGAGGGAGCTCCTATGGGTCCTCGCCCCAAGAGCTGAGACTTATTCTTTTGGGAAACATTGGATGTGGCAAGACCTCTTCGGCGGACACTATCCTTGGCCAGCTGTCACCCATCTCTCCCACTGCCTCCAGGAGCTGCCAGCTGCGACAGGGCATCTCTGAGGGCAGGGGTTTGACTGTGGTGGAGGCGCCGAGATGGTACTGGACCGGCGGGAAGATGGAGGAAAGTGTCAGGGAGGAGACGGAGCGAGCGATGACGCTGGTTGCACCAGGCCCACATGCTATTTTGCTGCTGGTTCCTGTTGGCCAATTCACAGAGGTTGGTTGGTGGTTGTTTGTCCTTCCATCTGTGTTTTTGCTTTTGGCATTATTTCTCACTGATGCAGTCATCAATAACATTGTTTGGGTATTTCTAAAAGCCAAAGACATGCTTTTAGTTTACATTTTATTTACACTTGTGTTTCATAATACATACAACTTTAATTCGTATTTGCTTTACACAGAACATTCATTAGTACACAAGGTGCAATTTTTTTTTGCAATGTTTTTGTAATGATGAACAGTTGTCAATGAAAGTCCAAATATAATGATTTTTTTCTATTTTTCCTTCCTTGGTTTTCTTTCCCAGATGGAATGTCGTGTGCCTGCAGAGCTGGAGGAGGCATTTGGGGAGGAGGTGCTGGATCACACCCTCGTCCTGCTGACCTGTGGGGACTACTTGATGGGAAGAACACTGGAGGTATTAGAGTACACTAAATAAAATTTCAAGTCTTCTTAATTTTAGCACCGTATACAGGGTTCAATGCTACTTTAAAAGGTTGCCAGGCTGGCAACTAGGCATCAGCTTTTGGTTGCCGAAACTGAATATATGGCTTTTTGTAGTCACTTTATATTTTGAGTAATTAAGATCCTATGCAGTCATATTTATTAATGAAAGTGTGACATGAAAGAATGTCTGTAATGACCAGTCTAAGGAAGGTTATTTTTGTTAAAAATGTTTTAAACTGGGCAATAAAGCTGAAAAATGCATTCTTGCACGATAAAAAGATGCAAAGCAACAGAATGAATGTTCCATTCTACACATAAACTTTTTACGGAGAATAATTTAACAGATGTAAACCCTTTTTATCACCAACATTTTAATTAGTAACTGTAATGTAATTACATTTTTTCTCAGTAACTATAATAATTTTAATAATTATATTAACATTTATTATGCAATTTAATTACATTTGACTAGTTATTCCCCAGCACTAGTATTGACAGGATTATCAACTAATCAGCTGCTGTTTATGGAGGGAGAGAGGCAACCTATTGCAAATCTAAGTTGTTTTTCTGCAGGAATACCTGCAGAAAGAACACCCAGGCCTGAGGCAGATGATTGAGAGCTGTGGGGGAAGGTGCCATGTCTTCAATAATCGTCAGCGTCAGGACAGGGAGCAAGTCCGGGAGCTGCTGGATAAGGTGAGATGTCGACATAGAGAACAATTAACAACTGCATGAAGAGTTCATACACAAATTTTTGCAGTGTGTACTGTTAACAGCTTCTCTGTTTTCATATTGATTATGTTGGTTATCTCACAATATAGTCAATTTGGGTCAGTTTGGGCGTATGCTTTAAGATCTCTTGAAATGAGGTACCGTGCATTTTGTGATTTTTGTCAAGCACTTTTTTAGAATCTTCAGAAAGTGAAATGTTATTGCATACTGCACATGGTAGAGCTCTTTGTTTTGATTTGTCTGAGAATGTCACTGAGCGTGCATGTTTTTCCCAGCAACGCCCTGTTTCATACTCACACACCCAGCTATAGTCGGGACAGGTACATTGTGACCTTGACTGACATGGGAATTGATTTCACAGTTTTTTTTCCACAGAGTTTAATTGCAGGAATTCTAAAATACAACACTGTAATTCTAAATGTGAGTATGGGGGATATTGTATAAAATATTGTTCATGTATTTATGTAACAGGTGGACAACATGGTGAAGAGAAGTGGGGTATACTATATGAGAACAGCCCAGGAGAGAGAGCTGGAGAAACGAGTGAAAGAGAGAAAGCGGGAACTTATGGAAACATACAGAGCTCAGAGAAGAGAGCCCGTCGCTTCAACGCACATCTTAAACACAGAAACACGAAGGAGTGTGGATCGTGTGGATAGAGGAGAGGAGTACAGCACCATCTTGGAGAGGAGGAGAGAAGAGAGGCATGAAACAGAGGAAAGTGTGGGTGTGAGGCAAAGATCTAACGGGCTTCATTCAACTCCAGCACCAGAGCAACAGTCCTATTCAGAGCCGCATGATGACAGACAGTTCAAGAGGACTCCCAGCTTCAAATTAAATGCAGGTAAATGTATGCATTTTTGTACCCAATATTCAACATCACAATGCCATGTAAAAAAGAACAAATGTGGGCACAAAACAGGACTCAAATTTACTGTTTTTTCCTCTGTAGATGGAGCTATACTCTCACAAATGTCTGAGGGTAAATCAACTCCCAAAGTGGTCACTACTTGTGAGTTACAGGACCTCACTGTCTCATCTCATGTTATGTCACTTCAAAGTGCACTCCTGTGATGACAAATGTTTTAAAAAATTCATTGTCTCTTAACTTTACATATTAAACTCCAAATTTCCTCTGATTTTTCAGTACACCACAGAATGAACAGCTTTGAAGAGAGATCCCCTGAGGCATCTCCGACCTCCTCTCCTTATTCGCCTGTCTTTACCTCTTCCCCCTCCTCGCCAACCTTTACCTCTTCTCCCACCTCATTCCCCAGATCCTCCTCTCCAACCTCATTCCCCAGATCCTCTTCTCCCACCTCATTCCCCAGATCCTCCTCTCCTACCTCATTCCCCAGATCCTCCTCTCCAACCTCATTCCCCTCGTCCTCCTCATCTTCTTCATCCTCTCCGGAGCTGCGCCTGGTGCTGTTTGGGCGATCTGGATCAGGGAAGAGTACAGCTGGCAACAGCATACTGGGGCGGGAGGTGTTTGAGTCATGCCCAGACAGCCTCACAGCAGTCACTCAGGAGTGTGAGAAAAAGAAATCCATGGTTGAGGGAAGACAGGTATGATATTGTGTTGTTTGCTTTCACGTTTTCATTTTACTTTCACTCATCTCATACCTGTGCTCTAAAATGTAATCTCTCTCTTCTTGTTGTGTCATAAAAATTCAGTTGTGCACTGCTGATTTCCCATGAATCAACTCCTTATATTGCTGCATGTGTCTCCTCCCTCACCTGCAGGTGGCAGTAGTGGACACCCCAGACTGGTACAATTCAGAGCGAGCTCCAGATGAGGTGCGAGCTCAGATCTCCTCCTGTGTTGCTTTGTCCAGCCCCGGCCCTCATGCCTTCCTCATGTGCGTCCCCTTAGACCAGCCTGCAAAGACCGAACTGAAGGCTCTTGAGGCCCTTGAGAATGTTTTTGGCCCCGAGGCGGTCCAGAGACACACTATTCTCCTCTTTACTTACGCAGATAAACTGAGGGAGAGTGGGAAGGCAGGCAGTGACAGCGTGGAGGCATACATTGCTGGTCAGCGGAGGGATTTGTTAAAGCTCGTGGAGAAATGCGGGGACAGGTTTCATGTGATGGAGACAGGAGGAGGTTGGAGGGAGAGGAGGAACGTGGCAGAGCTGCTAGAGAAGGTGGAGCAGACAGTGAAGGAAAGTGGAGGACAGTGTTATTCTCATCCTGCTTTTCAAGAGGCAGAGACCAGACTGAGGCAGAGACAGGTGCAGCTAGCAAGGGAGAGAAGGGGAGAAATAGTGGAGCAAGACAGACTGGCAGACGATAAACAGCTCAGCTCTGAAAGGCGGGTTCTCTATCCATATATGCAGACTGTGGCTGAGGCAGAGGAGGAAGTGTTAGAGGATGAGATTGAGAAAACAAGGGATGAGGCAGAGATGAGTGTAAAAACAATGAATAATGAGAGCCTTCCTCCTATTACACGTTCCACCATGTCCCCTTCACTTCTTCGTTCCATTATGGAGAAAATGGAGTCCAGTGCAAAGATGTTACCCAAACTTTTGGCAGATAGCTCTGTGTGGGTTGGTGAGGGAGCAAAGAAGGTGAAAGATAGTCCGGTGTGGGGGACAGTCGGCACTACAGCAAAAAATGTCCAGAAGATTGTGGCTGATAGTCCTGTGTGGGGGAAGGTGGGAGCTGGTGCTGGACATGTGTCCAAACTAGTAGGAGATAGAGTTCCCAAGTCAGTGGTGGATGGTTCTGCATGGGTGGGATCTGGAGCAAAGGCAGCAGCAGCTAGTCCAGTTTGGGGAAAAGTTGGTTCAGGGGCCAAATCAGGGGCCAAAATAGTGGCGGAAAACTCCATGCGTGTCGGATCTGGGATTGGAGCCGGGGCAAAGAATTTGGCGCAGAGTCCTGTGTGGGGAAAAGTAGGATCTGGGGCCAAAACTGGAGCTAAAATGATGGCTGACGGCTCTGTGCGACTTGGAGCTGGAATTGGTGCTGGTGCAAAGAAGGTGGCGCAGAGTCCAGTGTGGGGGCAGATTGGCTCTGGGGCAAAATCAGGGGCCAAAATGGTGGCTGAGAGCCCAATGTGGGAGAAAATTGGGAATACTGCTAAACAGGTGCCCAAGGTAGTCATAGGGGGCGCAGTGCTGGGTCTGGTGCTTGGTGTGCTTTTGGGGGGGGTGATTGGCGGAGCTATCGGGGCAGCTGCTGGATCTGCGGTAACTGAGGTGGGCAGACGAAAATTCAGCAACAAAAACACTTTAGAAAAGACGGATGAAGCTGCAAAAAATGTGGCAAGAACAGTGAATGATAGCATTGACTCTCTGGTAAAGCAAGGAGAGAAAGTATTGAAAACTGAATGAACAGCTGAATTGTTCATGTATATAAAATGTAAAACACATGTAAAAACATTAAGTTGAATTAGTACCATCAAAGTGCATAATTCCAAAACAGTGACACATATATTTGTTTATTTTGACAGATTGATGATGTGTGAAACATACACTTTTCTATTAATCTTTCTTTCTGTACTAATAGACTGCATGTTACAGGACTCATTTCAGAATACTTGTGTCAAAATGTATTAACTATTATATAAACAGATGCCTTAAGACAAATCCAAACTGTAATTTTTTTCCATTATTTTTTTAAAGGTCCAATGTGTTGGATGTCTGAATATATAGGCAATAATGGAATGTAAAATGTTTTTGGCGTATAGTCATCGGAAAATAAGAATCGTGTTTTTGTTACCTTAGAATGAGCCGTTCGTTCATGGAGTCTGCCTTGTTGCACCACCATGTTCTGCAGCAGCCCAGATCAAACACTGGCGCGTTTTTGTGTTGGCCACCGTAGTTGGCAGCCTCTCAGCGACGAGCAGTGTTGAGAAAAATCCAGATTCTATAATGTGAAACTGCTTTATTTAGTGTTTTGCCAATTTAAAATGCTGGGTCTGTTTATTTTGAAATGGAGGAGACCTCTGCAGACAATCGGCTCCTGCTAAAGACCTCCTGAACGCCTTGATCAGAAATAAGGTGTACACACATTAGCAGGGGCTGGGCAAGCAGCCCATCTCTGACATGCCTAGACACTGATTTGTAACGTAAAACTTCATTCATACTTCATTCAACTTTTTTTTTAACTGTTATTAATCATCTGGTCTCTATGCTTTGGAGAGGAAGAGACTTCTGCTGATAATTCGGCTCCTGGTGAAAACCTCCTGATGCCACTGAACTCCCCTAAATCGTACACATTGGACCTTTAGGTTTCCTTCCAGCAGCTTATAAATAAAGTTGGGTGTGACGTTTTTTCAAAGGGTGAATGTCACTCACACTAAATGGTATGTTCTAGATATGATTTTGACAAAATGAACTTGGCTAAACTTGGCTAAATTGATTTTGTTTGTGCAAGTGACAAACACTTAGGTGCTTGTCCTATATACTGTTTGCAAGATGTCATTCTGTAAGAAAATAGAAAATATTTTGAACCTATGATTTATTATAATTTCCTTTTCATTTCTTAATGTCTGAATACTGTGCTATGAGTGCTAGTAGTGCCTAATAAAAAAAAGAACATTCATTACAAAATTGTCTTGGTCTGTTTTGATTGTTGCAATGCAAATATGAACAGTTTTATTGTGAGCTTTTATAGCTTTTTTCTTTCTTTTACTATTTTGATGTTTTAACATTTGAAAAAAACCTCACAACTTGCTAAACCTCTGCATTAAAAAGCTGCATCCTCATTATCAGCACGCTAAAGCTGATAAAGGACCAGAGGCTTCTAGCACGTCAGCTCCTCACATGCACGTGCAGGTTTAGTCTGTACGTGACTGATGGGACAAGAGCTACTGGTATTTTCAATGTGCAAGGGGCTGTAGCAAGAGGGGCACAACGGAGGGGTGGAGACAGGGACATTATCTCTAAGTCCCAGACAGGCCAGCATCACCCTGCTTGGCCTCCTGTATCAAAAGAGGGAGAGATGGTTAACACCCCAGCAGTCCCAACCAAGATTATAAGGTTTCTTTTTCCTGACCTATATCCTGAGTCATTGCAATATTTAATATAAAGTACTGTAGATCTATTAAAGAAAAAAAACCCAGAAAAAAAAAACAAACACATTAGCTTACCCTGTCCTGTGGACAGGCTTAGCAGGTGAGGTCAGGGAAAAGCTGTGATGTTAAAGTTGATTTTTGTAAAGTTCCTAATATTTTCACATTGAGTTCATGACTAAGAAGTTTATGTCTTAAGTTTATTATCTTACCTAAATAAAGCTAAAGTTTGGATTTGGAAATTTTAGAAACAATAAGATATAATGTTAAAGATGCTCATGCAAACAGCTGTTAATAGGCCTTTTTCCACATAAGAGATTTTGACATTTCACTTTAGGAAAACCACAGGTGTATTTAATAAAATTAATGAAGGCTGAGTTCCATTTGGCAGCCTCCGTTTTAGGGTGCTGGTATCGTGCCTGCTGGCTCTCTATCAAACTGCCATAGCTTACTGGGACACTCAAATAGAGCAAAACCGTCACTAAAGCAGCTATAATAAATATTTTTTTAGCTGTTAGCGTATACTTTAGCACTGTAAGGGGACACAACTATGTCATAGGAGGTTTAGTGCTCAGGACCCAAGGAAGAACAGTGTGGATTGTGAAGTTGTTTGGATGAGCGGTTCTTGAGAAAGTTGCAAGCAGCAACCTTGAAGGCCGAGCAATCAGCCCATTCTGAACTGCCACATTTTGAACGGGCACTACACTAAACAACTTAAAAGGCGATGACACTTTTAAATGATGTTTTCACAACTTGTTTCTGATGGCTCCAAGTGGCCGGAAAAAATGCTATTGCAGATTTGTTATTAGTAACACCTTTGCTTTTGCTATTCTGGTAAGTTAAATGTTCATTGTGAAAAAGGCCAATTTACCTTTTAAAAAGTAACATAAAAACTTAAGTTCCTGGAAGAGTCTGAGCCATTAACACACACAGGTTCAGTTCTCATGCACAGGGTATGTGTTTGTGGTGCTAGCTGTGTTGAGCTAATGCCTGTATAGAGTGGTGCAAGAATGAGTCCTAAAACCCAGAAATGATTTAGCATTTTGGCACTCATGGTTTCCTTGTCTTAAAGTCTAGTCAGTTTTTTGAATGGGTTTTTGGTTAGACGTTTGAGACGAGGTCTGTGGTTAACACAAGCTTTGTTCTACAACATAAAATATGTCAGTAAATACCCCACTCATAAACTTTTAAGCTTTTACGTGTCTTAAAAAGACAGTAACTTACAAGTTGCTAAATGAGACTACAGAACGTCATCATGCTGAACATGGCTTTATAGCCTAGCTGTGGTGGTGATGTGAGGTCATGCACCTGTGGTATAACTCATTGATACCCTAATGTTAGCTTTTTATGTCTGGCAATTGTATGTATGCTTCAAAAATTCTAAGAGTGGTGTTCATTTGTGAAGTTTATCTTGCTGAACAATGTGTAAGTATCATAAACATTTGTTTTCCACACACCTTGTTTGATGCAATAATCTGAAATCCAATAGGAAAATCCCATTAGCTTTTTGACAACAGAACCAATGTAATGCTAACTTCCGCGTCAGTCTCCAGAAAAAGTCATCCCTGCAGCACTCTATAGTCACTGCACTGGCTTTTGTTTGTGATGAATAAAGTCTTTTTTTTTTTTTTTTAATTTGGACACACCTTGATAGTCCTTTTCACAGCACACATCTTGTCTTTTCACAGCAGGAAAAGCTCAGATGAAACACATTTAGGTAACGACGGCCCACTTCCATCTAGTACCCCAGTATGCCAGTGAGCCAGTATGCATGATACCAGGACCCTGGAACTGGCTCTTCCTGTACTTTTGCTTCTGTCACAAGTCACAAGGTCTTCTGTGAAAAAGGCTTATACCAGGACACTGGAACCAGCTCACCTAAATGTAAGGCAGTCATGTTTATTTAATCAAATACACCTGTGCTCTTCCTGTAATGACAAGCCAAATGTCTGATGTGAGAATGGTCTATTGATTTATTCTCTCTTGCATCACACCATGCACCCAGGAGGCCTTTTGTAGGTGTCGTGGCATGTTCTCTGAACTTCTTTAAAAATGTGCCACCTTAATAGGGCTCCGCTACTCGTCTCACATGTTAAACAGTCCAAATGAAAACACTGCAGCCGCTGATCTGTTGCCTTCATTTGGCTGCTTTATTCTCACTTTAAACAAAACTAGCAAAGTATTGTCAAGTCGACTGTGAGGTCAAAAACTGTGCCAGTGCCCTGTTCTACACCACGCTTACTACATGTTTACTGAAGAAGTCTGAGACACAGTCCCACCACTTCCTTCTATTGCAGCCGATCGTTATCAGATCAATCACAGTAGATCCAAAGATAATTGCACAGAATATTATTATTTATGTATTATTATGACAACAAAGCATACGTCAAAAGGCAAGCTTTACAGTTTGCAAAGTGTAAGACTATAATTTGCATTAAATGCAAAAAATGAGCATGCTGCAATAACATTAGTCTTTAATTCATAAATTGTTAAATAACTCCCAACAACACAGCAAATCACTGCTGTTGCTGCAAATGTAACTGGTAAAAATTTTAGTATGTGCATTTTCAGAATATTGCAGCAGGCTGCCTCTTTAATCTGTGTGACCCCTGCCTCTGTAATCCTCACTGTGGTTTCACAACAAAGCAAGGGTGGGGTGGGGTGGGGGCTGGCACAGCAGAACGGCTAGCGGCAGCCATAGCAGTGTTGTGAAAGCTGCTCTTCCTGTTGTGCGGTCCTGAAACTGGGTGTATAGGGGTTCCCAGAGCATCCTGGTGGCTCTTTTTTCTGTTTTTCCCCTCTCCCTGTCTCCCATGCAGTGGTTACCACCCCACATGTCCAAACACCCATCAGAGTCACACTCACACACACACACACACACACACACACACACACACACCACCACCCCTCCTCCAGGAAACTCGTTGGCCGTCAATGAGACAGCACTAACTGTTGGCGTTTCCTGGCCACTCGATGGAGCCGAGCATGCAGGCAGAGAGACACCAGCACCGCTACACAGCTGCATCTTACCCCCAAACCTCTCACTTATGCAACCCCCCTCATCAGGCTGAACCCCATCTCTAACCGCATCCCACATCCACCCTGACCTTCCTCACACAACCGCACACCTTCAATTGTTGCTGTTACATAAATCTGTTGCCACTCAATGGCTTACACACACACACACACACACACACACAAACAACATGCACAAACATGCTAAAAACATGCAGTGGTGGAATGTAACTAAGTTTAAGTGCTGTACTTAACTATAATTTTGAGGAACTTGTACTTTACTTGAGTATTTCCATTTTATGCTACTTTATACTCTGACTCTACTGCACTTTGGACGCCAGTATAGAAGTTTTTTCCACTTTATTTATTTGACATTAATTTTCAGATTCAGACTGTTAATACAAAATATGAATCAGCTATGGTGTATCATAATAAATGTAGGTACCCCATAGTTTATAAAGTAATTTGAATAAGCCTCACCTTTATCAACTGCGACATCAGTGATGCACATGAATGCATCGATAATTAAAATCTGGTAATACATTATTCTAAAATGGGTCATTCTGCAGAATCAGTACTATAACATGTTAATATTGTGATGCTTATACTTACAAATGCAAGATTTTGAATGTATGACTTATACTTGTAACAGTATTTTAACACTGTGCCATCGCTAGTTTTACTTAAGTAAAAAGTCTGAGCACTTCTTCTACCACTCCTCTCTAAATCAGCTGCCTGGGAAAACTCCAACGCTTCATGGGACAACAATAAAATCAGCAGTTTATATTTACCTTTAGGGTGTCACATCACTCACTATTTTTATTTTTCATTTTTTGACTGGTGTTGTTTATGGCTCCCTTGACAAAAGTACCATTATTAATCTGTCATTCTGGTGAGCAGCACAAACAAACACCATGGAGTACTGCTTTGACTATTCAGCCCATACTGTATAAAGTGTGGTGATAGGTTGTTGTGTTTTTCTATTAGCATGTGGACATGTGATTTATTTACATGTTATTGTTTAGAATTCACATTTAATTTTTTTAATAACCCAGTAGCATTGCTTTTGTAGCTCCAACATCTGATGGTTATTGTGATCATCTTGTGCTGAGATTTCTGTGTATACTTTGAGGATACACAAATGTTCCTTAAATGTCTGACAAACACGGCAAATCGTTGAGAAATCGTGCTGACAGAGAGCAGTCTTTGTAGCGCAATAAGAGGATGTCAAATAAGGAACAGCAAACTAAAACACACTTTATTTCTGTCTGGTACAAGTGTGTCACAATGTCAGGGTGGGACCATTGGCCCTGCTTCTCTGACAGTAAGAACAGCAGGAACATCAAAAACTGCAACTTCGATTCATGAATGCATTACATGCACTTCTCTGCAGGCACAACAGAGAATATGGCACTCTTAAAGGTGGAGTCTGCAATTCTGGAGACAGATTGCTGGTATTTGAGCCCAACTCCCAAACACATTTACCCCTCCTGTCAGTGCTCCTTCGGAAGCTCTGTGTACCGTCCCTCTCAGTCCCACTGCCTTTCTCTTTATGCAACCATGGCCTTTTCCCTCTCCTGTGCACGAGCACGGCACAATAGTGTCATGTGGCTCAGTCTGACCGAGTCTGTGTTTCCAATTTCAATTGAGCCTGTGTATGAACACAAAATTTTTTTGTCAGTGCACACACAGAGCAGACAGCTAGCTGACCGTGAAGAGATATTTGCTGCATTTAACAAATTTTGTTGGATTAGAATCACAGACTGCACCTTTAAATTACCATAATTGTACTGGGGCAGTGCTGATTATATACATGTACATTTCTGAGGCTGTATTTAGACTGGAACAGAAAATCTGCTTTTTCACCATCTTTGAGAGATGTATCATTTCTATGGACCCACAAAGGGGGAATTTAGGATCCTGAATTTCTTGATTGAGAAAAAATCAGCCTGGTCTCTCAGAAATACTTGAAATGACCACGACCTCTTAATACCCCATTGGTGGCACATGTGCCACCATAATGGTGACCCATGTGTTAAATTTAATTTTAAACAGTGCCAATGGAAAGTCAATAAGAATCCATTGCGTGTTGGACACACAAATTCCCATTACGCAGTGGGTGGTGGTTTATGTTATGACCCCATAGGTAACATGAAGAGCAACAACATCCATGTAGTGAAGTGGTTGGTGTGGTGGGTGGGTCAACCAAATACAGGACTGTCCCTCAGGAGACTGCTGTTTTTGTTATTTTTTAAAACCAAAATTAGCATTGGCTTATGTTAACTTTACGTATTGTGTAAGTAGGATTTATTTTCACTGAAAACACTAACTTTTTGTAAACCTCGCCAAGTTTTTCTTTTATCTGCAACCAGCAGCTCGCTCTGTTGGTTGGATGGTTGGTCAGTCGGTTGATCCACCCTTTCACAGCCACAGGTTTTTCTCTGGGGGGTTGGGGGAGTGGCCCATTGCAAAAAGGTCCCTAACCTCCAAACAAATTCAGATATTTGCCTTAGAATTTGTGGATAGATTGGTTATAATTAGCCAAATGAAAGCTGATTAACTGTTTATGCCGTTTGACAAAAAGGGGCAGATGCATGCGAGGACGGGGTCGCAGCTAGTGCATATTTGCTTGGTTTTCCCTAAACCTACCTGAGTAGTTTTGGTTCCTAGACCTTACAAAACTGCAACAGTTTCACAAGTCAACCACGTATTCAAAACTGTGACCGCTCTAGCACATAATTGTAACACATTTCATGTCACAACTACTTAATATGGTGTTAAGAGGTCGTGGTCATTGCACACATTTCTGTGAGATCAGGTTGGAAAACATTGTTGAATTTTTGTTATTAACACTAAAAAAAGTCAAAACAAACACTCCTCAATTTCCAGGATCATGTTGTGAATCCACATTGTTTGATAGTGAGGTTAGACCTTAATTAGATATAAAACATGTTTGAGTCTGTTCAAAATGTTCTGTGATGTTTCATGCCTCAACTTGCCCCACAGCACAGTTCAGTATTTTCCTAAAACACAGAGCATCAAACTCAAATGTTTGCACATCACTGGAAAAGACATAGAGACAGTTAAAACCGCAAACGTTTCCCAAAAATCTTACTTATTTCACTACTTTGGAGCTGTAGAGAGAATCACACCAGCTCCGTATCTGGCGGCGATTGTGTGTCCTGTCTGTCAGTGTGACATTTAAACTCCCAGTGGCTGCACACCTCTTTGTTTGCTGTCTTTTGGTGTCACCGCTCATCATTTGTTGCTGCCACCATCCTTATCTGACCCTTGACCTTTCCCAGAATGCCATGGGTCACCAAAGAGGTCTTAGCCCCAAAGCTTTCCTCACTGTCCGTGTCACCATAGCAACTGGATGTTGCTGGGGAGTTAGCCAGAGCAATGACTGAGTCAGTTGAGTCTCTGTCTCTGTGGAGCGTCGCAGGGTGGGCTGAGGATGGTGGGGCGGCGTGGGACAGAGGAGGGGTGTTGCACTGAAAAAGAAGGTTCCGTTTATTTCTGTCCAATTCAGCTGCGGTGCTCTCGTCCTCATCCTCAGTCGAGTCCCTGCTCTTGTCCTGTGCCTGGTCATTGAGCAGAGTGACCAAGAAGTTGATGTATTTCACAGCCAGACGGAGGATTTCATTCTTGCTGAGCTTCTTGTCGGGTGGGTGTGTGGGAATGAGTTTCCTCAGCTCAGAGAACGCCCCATTCACGTTCTGCTGCCGCCAGCGCTCGCGGCTGTTGGTGAAGACACGGCGAGCGAGTTTTTGAGGAGGGCCTGTTAGACACATATAATCACTGTCTGAGTGTGTAGGGCCTTAAAGGATATAAAAAGAAAGTTATTTTTACTCTTATTATTGTCAACAAATCCCATTAAAAAGACCAAAACCAACAATGATCTTCGTATTTTTTTAGACTGTTGTACATTATTCCTTTGTGCCATAGAATGCTAGCCTGGAAATCCAGACCCAAATCTAGAAAGATTTAGGCTGACTCGCTGAGCAAATTCAAATTCAAATTGTGCTCTAGCGAGAACTCTGGATTTCCAGGGTAATAGAACGCAGCTGTTGTCCACAATCTATTAAAATAATGCCAGTGGGCCACTGGGACAACTTCATTTATTACGGTATACCTGAGTCAATCCCACGTATACTGCTTTGCTGCTGCAAATACTCACAAGAGCATCAAATGCGTATTAATCCACCACTGAAAAAGTCCCCCGACAAATGCACTTTTTATTTCTATGTGAGTAACATTTGTTAAAAACTACAGTGCCCAGCTTTTTGAGGGAATTATTTAACCTTTTAAGAACAACTGGGCCTGCAGCTGAAAGCCACAGATGCATTGTTGCTGTTGGTTTTTCTCACAAGACTTGCTGACAATAAGGAAAATACAAAATATTGGCAACCTTGAAATATTAACCTTCTCCATTATGTGGGCAGCAATTCCATCCATACAACTGTGTCAAACATGCAAACGTTAACATACTGTAACAATGGCTGTATCAGTATTGATGACTGATTCTTTATTTGGTCACACTGAAACTCACAGTCATTGATCTCCACCTCAAAGTGTGACGAGGGTCTTCTCTTGATGCGGCTGTTGTTGATGACACCATAGTTCCCTCCTGAGGGACCCAGGTAGGAACTGAAGACAGAAACACAGCAAAATGTGTGAAAATGTGACTCTTTTGTAACTGCACTCAGAATCAACTGCAGCTAAATATAACAGCTTACAATGTAAAGTCATTCTCGCATCTCTTTACGTAAAGAAGCCTTGGAGAGTGAGTGGAGAAATCAAGAAGATGGTGGAAGCCATTAGCTGCAGTGTGATTATGCTGGTGGCGTTGATTGAGTGTGCATGCAGAGTTTTAGCCCAGTCTCATTAAGTGTGGTTACTAGCTGATTCTACTTCAGGGGGATGAAATAGATCAATGCTTCCTGCTACAAACAGACCAGAGAGAAGTGAGGAGGGAATCTTATTCCCAGACCTCCATGACAGATGGTGGAACCTTAGATGTCAAAAAAAAATCCTACTTTTTACACAGCTGATGCTTCTTTGTTACAGAAAGAAACTGTGAGGAAAATCCTTTTTGGAGTAGAGAATAGATGAACAGTAGGAGGCCTTTGATAATGTCTGCAAATGAGTGCCTTTCTTCATGAGTGTTTGCTAAGAGTTGCCAACTCTACGGGCCCAAAAAGTGCTTTAAGAGTTGTGTTTTGTTGTCTTTTGGCAGTTCAACGACTAAATTTAGCTGCAATTAAAAGTAGAGGTATAGTTTCAAAAGTGATCACTTCAGGGTTTTGGTACTAAATGCACACAAAAAAACTTCCCTGATGCAACTCATGTTCTGCAAACAAGTGTCCTGATGAGTAAATTTAGCATGAGAAATGTGAGGTTCCTTCAGCGCAGCACACATCCTGCTGTCAATTCTGCTTAACCGTGCAGCGTAGCCACAATTAATCACAATGGGAAGTCGTGAAATCCCAGCAGTTGAGGTTTCATATGAAACAGAAAACTGTTGCCAATGAGACGGCATCATCATCACCAGTAACATATATCGTTAAGAGTTCCACATCTGTTTGCCTTCCTGGCGAAAAGGAGGTCAATGAGCATTAGTATAGTGAGTTATAGTATTTTCCATATTTCAGATTTCCTTGCAGGATTGAATGCATCCTCAAGAATTACTTAACTGCTCATGAACACTTGGATATTAGGTGACACTATCAGAGCTGTCTGTTAATACTGTGGTTCCCAACATTGGGGTTGCAAAAAAAAGAGAAGTTGCCAGATGATTAAATGGAAAAGAAAAAATGTAAAAACAAAATTACATTGAATATTTTCTGACTTTTCACCACCCTTTGCTTTTTTCTAGTGTAATAGAAACCTTTGCTTCTTTAGGCCCCAAAAATTATTAAAATACAACAATTTGAGAAGTGAAAATCAGTCTGTTCAGCACGATGAGGGTCTAAGGAGGTCATAAAGTGAAACTGTTGCTTATTGATGAATCCATTAAAGCCAAATCTCACCTGGTGAAAAAGGGGTGTGCAGACAGGTACTGCTGAGGCAACAGCGGCCCTGGGGATGGAGCTGAAGGGCCCCCAGAAGTTCCAGGGCTCGCCACAGGCAAACCAGCCAGCTGACTGCGGCGAAGGTCCCCGTGTGGCCCGTGTAGGAGGTTGGGGATTGGGTGGAGGGCAGTTAAAGGAGTATTAGGGAGTGGGAGAGGGGGTTTGCTGTGACCAAGACTGATGACTGGAATGTGTGGAGGAAGAGGAGAGGGTGATGAAGATGAAGGGAAGGTTGCAGTGGAGGCTGGAGGTGGTAGAGGACACGGGGAGGTCTTGGCTGGTGCCGGGAGGAGTGGAGGTGGAGAGGAAAGAGTTGGGGACCCGTTGGCAGAGGCAGCACAAGCTGTGGTGCTCTTCGGTCCTCCTCGCTTCTCCTCCACCTCCTCCTCCTCCGTCTCCATGACAATGGGCTCAGGTGCAGCAGCTTTATCTGAGTTGTGACTGGTTAACACTGTCGTCGTGGCAATGGAGGACTGAATCGAGCCAGCAGAGGGGACATCCGTGTGTCCCTTGTGCCCTGTCTTATTAGGTGGATGTGGGCTGCTGATAGCATCCGAGGACGCTAAAGTTTTGTTCTGGAGGGGACTGTGCTGCTCCACAGGGGCACAGGATGGGGAGGAGGCGGAGGAAGAGGAGGAGGAGGAAGGGCGAGGTAGATCTGGGGGTGAGGCAGGTGGACCGTCGGGGTTCAGCTTCTCCATCATAGTGCCAAACTCCTGTTCCTCCTAGCTGCCCAGCGTGTGTGCTGTGGGCGTGTGTCAGTGTGTCTTTATATATGTGTAAGAGTAACTACCATGCTCCTGTACCACCTGCAGCTTGTCCTAAAGGGACCTTTAAACCTCTTCTAACCAAGTGTGTGTGCGTGTGTGTGTGTGTGTGTGTGTGTGTTTCTTCCTTTAAACCCTTTATTTCCTTGTCCTTTGTTCCACTTTCCTGCAGATTATGCAATGCGTTGCTGCTCTACCTCTCTAGAAATGTAGATTTTCCTCTGGCCAACCTGAAATCCATCAGTTTTTCTTATCATGGCCAGGGTCAGTATGTGAATCATCTACCTGTCAGTCCAGACTATATGTGCTTCGCATAAAGCTACAGCTGCCCTCTGATCCCCCCATCATTCCCGCCTCTGCTGGCTGTATCTAGAGTGTGAGTAAACGTGAGCCTGTATTCATTCCCTCCTTTTAACATTACAGAGGGTGCCAGGGAAACAAATGTTTCAGTCCTTGCAGTCTTCAACGGAGGGCTACTTCTGTGGTGTTGTCTCTGGGCGCGACTTGGAGCCGGGGTGGGTGTTGTGGTCTGGGTTTTTCTCACAGTACATCCTGAGCAGCAGATTCTAGGTTTTGAATGAGTCTCCAGTGGCTGCTCTTAATGAGTCTGTCCGTCTAGTTGTCTGTCTACGTGTATTTTGAGGATGTGAGTCAAAATCCTTTTCAGCATTCAAAACGTTCCAGACCCCCGAAGATTGGATTGATATCAAAGAGTCTGTTGAACAAAAGAAAAAGGCACTCAGGATATATATTTGTAATATATTCAGTAAAAGCAATAAGACATGAAAATGTGCTCACAGGTCAAATTCTGCAGATGAGCACCACAAGAGTGTGTACTGATATTTAAGCAGTAGCTGCTGTTGGTTTGTTTCCTCAGTGGAAGCTGGACTACAGTTTAAAATCTGAATTTTATCCATGAAAATGTACAGATTCATCTTATACTGCTGCCTCGATGGGATGTTTAAATGCAGAATATCAACTTAATTCACTGTTACACTCTGCATTTGTTTTTGCTCTACTTTGCAAGAGTGCGTAACACTCATTATTTCTCAGGTTTTGCAATCGCAAAGTGTTCCTGTTTTGTCTTTTCTAGTGGTCATGACTTTATTTTGAACAGTTCCCTCTTTCACAATGGTATGGACAACACTCACAGGTAGTTTCTTGTATCATTTGATTTTGCAGCAGTGTTATATTTACTGGCACATAAATATCTTGATAGGAAAAATCCCTAGAGAGGCTACAGAGAGTTACAGATGTATATTTAGAAGTTTTTAGTGTAAAATACTTTTTTTTTGCTAAAAACATCGTCAGCCTCACACACTAAGATAATTCATTTTGCTGTGGTAGCAGAGAAACAAATCAGTTTGACTACACATATGCTACACATATTTTGTGTAGCATATTTTAATAAAGGATATTTTTACCGCATTTGATTTTTAGTCAAGCCTGTATTCTCTGGCACAATAACCTCAAATAAAATATATTTAAAAACTGTGATAAACCCAGCTATATGTCACCAATATTTCATTAAAATATTCTTTATTTATAATAAATATATATAATTGCACCACATCTATGCCCTTTATTTCTGTCCATTTATATATTCCTTATATTATTGTTTAGGCCAAATGCACATTATATTGTATATTTATTGTAACCAGTAGACTGGTCAGATAAAAAACACATAAAATTCAGCTTTTAACAGAACAATCCGTCACAACAAACCATCTGACATGACTTTATATTAAATTTCTGTCTTTTCTAATTGCTTTAAATTCACCAAATTTGAGTACCAGTTTTCAACAGGAACTATTTCACCATAATTACATGCTGTATGTGACATATGGCACATAGAGACTACAATCAGATCCTTTTTTTGTTTAAAATAATTGCTAGTGGACGTAAGCCGCTCATGTACTACAGACTGCATAAAAAAATAAATAAATTGTATTATATTAAGTACTCACAGATACATTGTGATATCCAGTGTGGCTCGTCTGTCAGTCATGCAAAAGAGTTCAAGTGATCTGCAAACGCACATGTTGTATCTCCTCAGTGTTGAACGCCCTCCTCCTCTTCTTCCTCCTCCTCCTCCTCCTCCTTCAGGTCGCTCACACTCCACTGCAGTCTGTGAGTGTCTGTCTGTCAATCTCTGATGTCAGAACTGTCAGACACCTGTCAAAACACTCCTCATACCCATGTCAATCTCTTTAAAAATCTTTAATCAAAAATAAAAAAATGATTAAAGTCCCAGATGTTCACAAAGAGATGAAGTCAGAATTAGACCATCCAATTTGTTCATCGTTGTGAAGTTGGTCCTTTGAACGAAGGCACACTCAAAACGTGGAGATGTTCTCTGCCTGCCACTCCTGTCCATATGTTACTTTCACCACTCTCTCTTTCACTGTCCCGTCTATCCCTTCCTTCACTCACTCTCTTCGCCAAGAAGACACAATGCTGTAGCTGGTTGCCAGTCGAAGAGCTCTGGTACTGGCAAGTGTGAGGAGGGAGAGAGAGAGAGAGAGAGAGAGAGAGAGAGAGGGGAGAGAGAGGGAACCATGTTGCATGAGAGTTTTCCGCTCCCTGCTGGACAAGAGGATGTGCTAGTACAATATGGTGGCTGCTGATAAGAGCCTCAAAAGCTGCCTGTGGCCTGCAGATAAGGAACCTCCACCACCCCTCCTCCCCACCTCCACCACCAATACCAACACACACACACTTTTCACAACACTCACACACACAAGCAGCTTTGCGCCTACATGCGTGTACGCACACACACACACACACACACACACACACACACCACAGTAGACTGGTCAGTCTGAGACTTTGAAGGGACCTGGACTGTTTCCAAGAAAATATCTGCAAGTGCACTTATATCACAATATAATAAATGGACAATGGTACACACATGCTCATGCTTCTTCATACACAGGCAATGACAAAAGAGGCCGCCGGGGAATCACCTATTATCTATCTTAAAATATCTGCTATTAATGGTCATTTTAGCATCTTGATTATGAACAATGAATCCATTATTATGTCTCTTTGTGGCAGCATTATTATAAAAACACATATTTTCTTTTGTTCTGGATCTGAGACAAATTGATATAATAAAGGAGGTGAGGAGAGATGAAATATGAAGGAGAGAAGAGGAGCAACTGTTTCTCAATAGAGCTGCAGCAATTAGTTGTTTATATGTTCAGTCGATTAAAAGAAAATTAATCTTACTTTGATAATCAGTTAATCGTTTGAGTCATTTTTAAGCCAAAATGTCAAACATTTCCATGTTCTAGCTTCTTAAACGGGAAAATTTGCTGCCTTTTTTTCTCATTTATGACAGTAAGTGGAGAGTCTTGGGGTTTTAGAGTGTTGGTTGGACAAAAGAAACAAAATAAGGACGTGACTTTGGTTTCTGGGAAATTATGATGAACATTTTTCCCGTTTTTTCTAATTTTATAGACTGAACGATTATTCAAATAATCATGAAAATAACTGGCAGATTAGTCGATAATTAAAATACTTGCTAGTTGCAGCCCTATTTCTGAGTAGAGCTTTTCTTTTATTAAAGTTAATTAAATTATGATCTCACTAGGTCCATTTATTAATTATTAGAGCAACACATAATTAGTCTATTTTGATTATTGATCAAGAATTGAAAAAACACCAATCAGTGCTATCAGCTCTCAGCTATAAGGATGTGATCTCACCTGTGATATTAAACTAAATATATTAAATAGTTTTTGAGAGTTGGCTGTTCAAAAAAGCAGTTTCATTCAAAATTATCGTAGCCATTTCCACCTTTTACTAGCCTTATTAAAATATTAAATATTATTATTAAAATAATCAATCAATTTAGAAAATAATCTGCAAACTAATTAATGATGAAAGTAATTATTAGTTGCAGCCCTTACTTCCAGTAAATATACAGTCAGGTCCATAATTATTTGGACAATGATACAGTTGTCATCATTTTGGCTCTGTACACCACCACAATGGGTTTTAAATGAAACAATGAATACCTGCTTAAAGTGCAGACTCTCAGCTTTCAGTTAAGGCTTTTTTTTAAGTCACATCATCAATAAATACAAGAGAACTAGTTCCACTGGCAGCCATACATGGCCATGACATAACAGTACCTCCACCATGCTTCACTGATGAGGTGGTGTGCTTTGGATCATGAGCAGTTCCTTCCCTTCTTCCTTCTCTTGTCTTCCCATCATTCTGGTAGTTGATCTTTGTTTTATCTGTCCATAGTATGCTGTTCCACAACTGTACAGGCTTTTTAGATGGTTTTTGACAAACTCTAATCTGGCCTTCCATTTTTAAGGCTAACCAATGGTTTGCATCTTGTGATAAACCCTCTGTATTTATTCTAGTGAAGTCTTGTCTTGCTTACAAGAGCAGCAGGATGAAAGCTGAAGTGTTTGGGGCACCATTATCTGCTCAGACTCAACCAAATGCTTCAAAACTCATTGGACGATGCTTCACAGTGCAGATGGACATTGACCTGAAGCATATTGCAAAAGCAACCAAAGACATTTTTAAGGCAAAGAAGTGGAATGTTCTGCAACGGCCAAGTCATATCATCTGACCTGAATCCAACTGAGCATGCGTTTCTCTTGCTGAAGCCAAAACTGAGGGCAAAACACCCAAAACACAAGCAGGAAGTGCAGACGGCTACAGTAAAGGGCTGGCAGAGCATCACCAGGGAAGAAACCCAGCATCTGATGATGCCTATGTGTCCAACACTTCAGGCAGTCATTGACTGTAAAGGATTTGCAACCAAGTATTAAAACTGACTGTTTAATTGATGATTATGTTAGTTTGTCCAAATACTTATGAGCCCTTAAAGTTGGGGGACTGTGTGAAGAAATGGTTGTCATTACTACATGGTTCATACTACATTTTTGAAAAAAGCCTTAAATGAAAGCTGAGAGTCTGCACTTTAAGCAGGTATTCATTGTTTCATTTAAAACCCATTGTGGTGGTGTACAGAGCCAAAATGACGACAACTGTATCATTGTCCAAATAATTATGGACCTGACTGTAGATGTGTCACAGTGTTGTTCAAACCCAATAGATCTCTATTTATTGGACAGCAGACAGATTTGGGGCTGGAGATTTTCTGTTATGACATCAGAGCACACCTGTGTCACCGATGACCAACACACCAGTCGTCATCATGGTAACTTTCCTCCCAAGAGCTCCCAAACTTCCTTCCTAAATCTATCTCTCACCCCGTTCTCCTTTGCGCTCACCCATTCCTGTTCATCACAAAGTCTCTCTCTGTCTGTCTCAACCTCAGGGTCAGCACCATTTTTACATTCCCTCAGTCATTTCCTTCTTAGACAGACTGTAACGCAAACATTATAAAGGCTTTACAGTTATGTGACCTTCAAGGTCCTGGGAAAGAAAGAAAGCATTGCTGAGCAACTGCCCAATAAATCTGTCATCACCTTCATCATCATCGTCATTGCTGATTTTTTTCATTGTAGTCATCATCATCATTATAAACAATAACTGCACTGGGGTCTAATCATGCTGAAATAATAATAGTACAATCAGAGTGCAGACAGTGTCATCTATCGGTCTGTCACACTCGTGTGCCTTCGGCAGCTGTGGTTCCAGTTGATCGCGCTCTGTGGGCCAGAATAACGTTGCAGTGGCACTGCTGTGCCTGCAGATGCTGCATGAAATTTGCCTGTAATATATAAAAAGCTACACAGGGGACAGACAGAAATCCTTTGGGCTTAACTTTTCCTGTGCTTTATGCTCCTGTTAAAAGTCACAAAGTTCAATACTGTCACACAATATGGTTTTGGTTCTTTAAAGGTGTTTGTTTTGTGCCTGTTGCTTTTTGCCTTAATTCAAAACAAAACTCTTTTAAATGCCTTTAGCTTTTCATCATTTGTTTATGATTATCTGTGGATATATGTGCTGATAGGAAATCACATGATGAAAAATAAATACTGTACACTGTCGAAGTCCAGACAGAAGCCTTTCATTGTTCTGGGCCAAATATTTGATTTCCAAGTGAAAACTGGTTGGGAGAAAAACACTTAATATGTAAAAAGATTGTACTATCGTTTTATTTCCAGTATTTTTCTGTTTTCATGCATTTATTAGCATTAAATACATGACAATACATATATACATTAAAAACTGTATTTTGAATAGTTTTGATCATTTTTTTTTTTTTTTTTTTTACTTTTTGTGATTGACAGTGGCATAGATAGACTTTAACTTAAATCAAAAATAAAAACAGGTTGGGAGAGAAGCAAAATACAAGTACAAGTATAAAGAGTGGATATTATTAGAATGATAAGTACTGACTGTTTGGACATTATTACAGGCGTCTGTGTCTTTTTCTTGTATATTGGATTCCTGTCAGTTTAGCTGAGTTTAAGCTGAAAAAAGGATACCATGAATGTGCTAAACAAACAAAAACAAATACACTGCAACTATAAACCACACTGATGCAGTTTTAGTTTCAAAAGCCGCTTAATTTCTTTAACTTTGTAAAGATAAAAAAACAAATCAGAGAACATTTTGGTTTCCCCCTCTCTTACTGTAAAAGCCTGCTTTCTCAGATAGTCACAGTTTTCTGGTTTTCAGCTCTCTCAAAAGACCCAGAAGACAAATAGTTGACTTTCTCATATACAGCTCAGTGTGAACACCCAAACTGTAAACGGAGAATAATAATAGAAACAAACGATAACAGACAGCTTCCGCTTTTCCCTTGAGTGAGGAAGAAATCAAGAGAGGATTGTTTTAATCTCAGAGCTGCGTTGTCACGCCTTTCTCCTGGCTACCTCAAAATACCCAGCTCGATAAATTGAGTATCTATGGGAGAGCCATTGTGCATGACTGAAGGGTGTGTGTGTGTGTGTGTGTGTGTGTGTGTGTGTACTTGTATGTATGTGTGAAAGCCAGGGTCAGGCTATTTGTTAAAATACCCTGGAGACGTCAGTTATAATAAGAGTAAATGTAAAGGTGCTCTCTCTCTCTCTCTCTCTCTCTCTCTCTCTCTCTCTCTCTCTCTCTCTCTCTCTCTCTCTTTGTGTGTGTGTGTGTGTGTGTGCGCACCTGCAGAAACAACATTGATCTTCTTGCTGGCCCAGTAAACATGTGTGGGTGAGAAGTGGAAAATGAAAAGCTTGTGGCCTTTTCACGGTAAAGTACCAGCTGCTTAACTGTCGTCCAAGAACCAAAATAAATATGACATTAACTATCTTTAGAGACATACTGTACATACAGTGTGTTTCTTTGATGGGTAGCAGAAGTAAAGCCTGGTTATCAGATTTTAAACTGTAAAATTTTGCAGCAAAATGAATTCATTGCATTGCCTAACTGAGCAGTACAGCAGGCCATGACAGAGCTGAAGAGTCCAAAATAAGGGAAGCTGTTGTAGTTTATTAGCTATGTTGCACCACTGACTCCCCTGTCACAGCAACTGCGCCACAA